CCCCCCCCCCCCTCCTGGTCCCTCGCCCCTACGCCCAGGCCGCTTCCGGGTTGAAGGATGTCCTCCAAGCCCGACTCAGACTCGGTTCCACTCCTGCCGCCGCCCGCTTCACAGAGCGTGGCTCTGGTGCCGGCTTCGCCGACGTCGTACGATGTGGTTCCGGCATCGGCGAGCCCCGGCACCAGCTTCGGCATCTCTCCCTGGCCTGGGGACCACAGCACGAGCTCCTCCTCGCAGTGGGATCGCGAGCGATCGGCCGCCGAAGACCTGCATGCGTACAACATCAACCTCGCACGCAACCTCACTCGGGTTCGGCGGAATTATGGCCAGCTGTTCGATTTGTTGGCCGGCGTCAGCCGATCCGGCGTGCTTGGGACATGTAACTTCAACTACACCGGCACGCAGGCCGCAGATGGTGGCCCGCCGGTGCTGCCGGAGCCGGCTCTGCTCAAGACCCGGCCCTTCTTCACCAATGCCACGCTCTTCCCGCTGATCAGCTCGCCCTATGCCAGCGAGGTGTTCGCCTACTACGCGGAGAACGAGGACCTGGTGCGCACGCTCTTCATGGGTCCACGCACGCACACACGCACACACGCATAGATAGATAGAGGGGCGGATGGATTTCTTTGCATGCGTATGGCCTTTCCGCAAAGACACAAGTCTCTCACACGTGCGCGCCCATTCCCCTGGGATGCACCGTCAGATCCACCCGGCCGAGCGATCGATCATTCACCGGTCCAAGGCCTACACCAGCATCATCAGTGGCTCGGCCTTCGGGCTCTTCCTCGGCATGATGTACCTGATGACGCGGCCATACATCCGCAACAAACTTTGGACTGTGGCCGGTGCCTTCAGTGGGGCGCTTCTGGCCACCTATGCCAATGAGAAGCGTATGTGTTAAGCAGGGGCATGGGAAGGCAGGCGCGGGCCAGCAGTCCTGATGCCACGATTGTCCCCCCCTGGCACCGCCATGCCCGAGCCCCTGGATGAGGAGTCCCTGAACACCAACCATGTCAACTTCGAGCTTTCGGTCCTCCGCCAGCTCGGCGCCCCGGGCGGCAGCCAGAAGGGCACCTTCGCCAATGTCTACGACTTCTTCCTGGGCGAGAACAAGTCCAACTAAGAAAAGCGAGACACGCGTGATCGTGTATGCGTCGTGTGTACATGCGCGCCCGTGCATCTCCACGCAGTGGTGCCGCACCTCGACCGAGCATATACTCTCCGGAACGGAAGAGGACACACGCCCCTCACCTTACTATTCGGGCATGACGAGACATCTGCACTTTCTCGATGCACATGCTTCTCAGGAGGGGGACCGGGCGCCCCCGCCTCTCCTCCCTCCCCCCCCCCCTTCCTGTGTCCATTTCCACATTCTCATCCCCTTCACACTAAACTACACTCTTGAAAAGAATATACAGCTCAACGATGCTTCCTCCTGCCTGCCTTCT